GGTGGGTGTACACCCAGGATCCCATTCCAACCAAAAGTGGCCTGGTCTCAGTTAGCTGATAAAAGTTGCAAGCGAGAATTTCATCATCGCTTGCAGCTGGGGTTGGCATCGTCCCCCACTCCACCTGATGTCGAGGGGAAATGGGCGAGGTTTAAGACTGTGACTCATGCAGCTGCAATGGCTGCTTTGGGTACGCGGTCCAGACCTCCCCAGAAACCCTGGCTGACAGAGGAGGTGTTCAGGTTAATTGAGAAAAAGCGACAGGCCCACTCTCATCGCCTACAGCATCCCACGTCAGAGAATGAGGAGGTTTACCGCAGCCTTCGCTCGGAAGTTCGGAGAGCCGTAAGGCGCTGTAAGGATGGGTGGTGGTCGCGGGTTGCTGAGGAGATGGAGTCTGCCTCAGTGGCCCGTGATCACAAATCACTATTTAACTCCATCAAAAAAGTAACCTGCAGCGCCACACCTATTACCATCATTAGAGGAAAAAACGGTGATCCAATCTCCGACCCCCAGGAACAGGTTTGCAGATTTGCTGAGCATTTCTGTGAGGTCCTGGGGGAGGGAAATTCTCTCAGCCAGGAAAACATCATGGCAAAAAGTGGTGATAACCCTGCTGAGGCTGCGGTGCCTCAAATATTGGAAGAGGTCACCCCCTGTGAGTGGCTGGCTGAGGTGCCAGCTGTTGAGGAAGTACTGAGGGCGATCCAGAGTCTGAGACCAGGGAAGGCACCGGGCAGAGATGATCTCCCAAGCGAAATGCTGAGGGAGGGTGGCGTTTGTGCACAGACTGCCCTATATGACATCATAACAACAGTCTGGACCACTGGACGGGTTCCGCAGGACTGGAAGGATGCCCTGGTGGTCCCCCTCTTTAAGAAGGGGGACCGTACCGACTGTAACAACTACAGGGGCATCTCACTCCTCAGTGTGCCGGGTAAGGTCCTGGCAAGGATTATTCAACATCGCCTTGCTAGGCACGCTGAGGAGGGGCTTGCGGAGCCCCAATGCGGTTTCAGGAAAGGGCGGTCCTGCACAGATGCCATATTTTCTGTCCGTCTGCTACAGCAGAGGTGTAGGGAATTCCAAAAAGACCTACATCTCTGCTTTATTGACCTGGTCAAGGCCTATGATACCATCAGTAGGACTGGGCTCTGGGTTGTTCTTCGTGCTTTCGGAGTCCCTGACCCTCTGCTCACGATCATTAAGGACCTTCATGATGGTGAGCGGGCCCGGGTAAAACTACGTGGCCGGGAGTCGGAGCCTTTCCCTGTACACCTTGGGGTGCGACAGGGATGTCCTCTGGCTCCCACATTATTTAACATCTATTTTGACCGCGTAGTTCGTGAAGCCTTCAATAGCTGTACCGGGGGAATTTCCATTTGGTACAGATATAATGGGAGGCTGATCGATGCCCGGGTGCGATCAAGGGATGGCTCCCTATTGGTCAACCACGTTATGTATGCCGATGATTTGGTAATAGCTGCTCATTCAGAAGAGGAGTTGGAGACGCTGCTGCTGAGACTGGAGCGTGCCACTAAGAGGTGGGGCCTTACCATCAGCCCCACCAAAACTAAGCACCTGCCTGGGTATTTTGTACCATCGGACACTCCACCCCCACAACTCCCAATTGGTGATGGGGCAGTTGTGGAGAGAGTGGAGAGTTTCCCATACCTGGGCAGTGTGCTTATGACCGGCTCCAGTTTATCAGCAGAGGTCTCACTCCGAATCAGTCGAGCGGCAATATCTTTTCATCGGTTGCGTAACGCTGTGTGGAAGCTACCTGGTCTGTCGCTCCGCACGAAGCTTCAGGTCTTCTCGGCCACGGTCATTCCCTCCCTTCTCTACGCTTGCGAGACGTGGACCCCCCTGGTGGAGCATCTTCGCCGGTTGGAAACATTTAGGCTGGCCTGCCTACGATCCATCCTGGGTTTAACCAGGCTGGATTGTGTGAGGAGCTCACAAATCCTTGAAAGATCTGGGCAAAGTCCCATCAGTGAGCTCCTCCGGCAGGCAAGGCTGCGTTGGCTGGGTCATGTAGCCCGCATGCCCAGCCACCGCATGCCTAAACAGCTTTTGTTCGGCCGGATCGAGGGGGCTAGACGGGCGCGGCACGGGCTGGAGAAGAGATGGAGTGATGTGGTACAGGAGGACGTGGAGCTGAGTGGACTTGCCGATGACTGGTACCAGCGGTGTCAAGATCGGCCTCAGTGGAGGAGGCTCGTGAAGGTCGCTACTGGGCAATTGGAGGCAGTCGCCCTCCAACAACAACGGAGGGCGGAGGAGCGACGCTCACAACAACGAGCGGAGCGCCGGGTGGCTAAAGCACAGCAAGTTGGCACAGTAGGGGGCACAGGTAGTGCATCAGCCAGTCATCTCGGTCATCTCGGTCAGTCGACCCGTGGCACCTGGGTCTGCCCCGTGACCTCCTGCCAGCGGGCGTTCGACACTTCACGTGGCCTCAAGGTGCACTTGGCCTGGCACAAGCATCGTGGTGACGTCACCGCCACTTAGTGGCGAATGGCGGTTGTTGTTGTTGTTGTTGTCTGTGTGTGTGTCTGTGTGTGTGTCTGTGTCTGTGTGTGTGTCTGTGTGTGTGTGTGTCTGTGTGTGTGTGTCTGTGTGTGTGTCTTTGTGTGTGTGTGTGTCTGTGTGTGTGTCTGTGTGTCTGTGTGTGTGTGTCTGTGTGTGTGTGTCTGTGTGTGTGTGTGTCTGTGTGTGTGTGTGTCTGTGTGTGTGTGTGTCTGTGTGTGTGTCTGTGTGTGTGTCTGTGTGTGTGTCTGTCTGTGTCTGTGTGTCTGTGTGTCTGTGTGTCTGTGTGTCTGTGTATGTGTGTCTGTGTCTGTGTGTCTGTGTGTCTGTGTCTGTGTGTGTCTGTGTGTCTGTGTGTGTCTGTGTGTGTGTGTCTGTGTGTGTGTGTCTGTGTGTGTGTGTGTCTGTGTGTGTGTCTGTGTGTGTGTGTGTGTCTGTGTGTGTGTCTGTGTGTGTGTCTGTGTGTGTGTGTGTGTCTGTGTGTGTGTGTCTGTGTGTGTGTGTGTGTCTGTGTGTGTTCTGTAAATAAGTGACTTGAGTCACGCGCAGTCAAGGGGGCCGCCCATAAATGACGTCACGCGATTTTGGACGGTTTTTGACCCCCCCCTCGTCACACGGCGTCACAAAAAGTCAGACCCCCCCCCTCAAATATGACGTCACAAAGCTCTGCCCCTCCCCCCAAAAAGAATAAAACATGCTTCAAATCGATTTAAAGCTTTCGTGACTGCATGGATTCATATTCTTGGTTCTTTCGGTAAAGTCACGTAGAAGGGAAATAATAAAATAATAAAAATATTAAACAATAAAATTATTACGACGTTTCGGCACCACCGCCATCATCATCAACGGTCTTATCCACTGCTGGATGAACCCCATCCCAAGGCGTCCACTAGATCGTGTCGACTCGACATCTTATCGGATTCCTCCGGTCTGAAGATTGTGTGATTCTGGGATAATTGGGGTTTATACTGGTAGGAACCTCCTGGTTACACCAGCCCACAGGGGATTATTGTGTCCGTCCGTCCGTCGTGCAGGGAGGGGCTGGGTGGGGAGGGAGGGGCTTTTGGGGAGGGGAGGGTGGGAAGGGGCTAGGCTGGGTGGGGAGGGTGGGGAAGGTGGGGTGGGGCTGGGTGGGGAGGGTGGGGCTGGGTGGGGGGTGGGAGGGGAGGGGCTGGATGTGGAGGGGCTGGGTGGGGAGGGTGGGGCTGGGTGGGGGGTGGGAGGGGTGGGGCTGGGTGTGGAGGGGCTGGGTGGGGAAGGTGGGGTGGGGCTGGGTGGGGAGGGTGGGGCTGGGTGGGGGGTGGGAGGGGTGGGGCTGGGTGTGGAGGGGCTGGTCACTCCGTGGTGCCCTTATCAAGCCGTTGACCCTGGTCCCATCTGAAAACGGGGACTTGTGTTGCCTCCGAAACGTCGTGATTTAAGTGATTTATTTTCATTTATTATTATTTTATTATTATTTTATTTTATTGATTGTTTTACCTACGTGACTTTACCGAAAAAACCCAAGAGTATAAAATTCTTCCATTTAAATCTCGACTTAAAGCTTTCGTGACTGCAGAAATTCACATTCTTACTACGACGTTTCGATCACAACACGAGCGATCGTCATCATTGCTTGTGTTCTACCCGATGACGATTGCTTGTGTTGCAAACGAAACGTCGAAATTTATTATTTAATGTATTTTTCTTTCTAAAGGTGACTTTATCGAAATAACCAAAGCGTTATCATCGCTTGCGTTGTGATCGAAACGTCGTTTTAAAAAATTTTCTTTACAATATATCTACGTGACTTTTACCAAAATACCCAAACAATACCTCTACCATTTAGTTTCACACGTAGGCTTTTAAATAAAATAAAAATAAAAACTTTTATCCAATCTTTGTGACGTTTATGAATGCGCGTTTTAACGATTAAGTTAATCGGCGCATTTAAAAGGTTTGCAGCAAGCGGGTCATCTCGTGGAGGAAGCGCTCGATTTCAATTGCCGACCCTGAGCCAGTGATGGAAATTCCACATTACCATGGCCGGGGACCAGTATGCTCGCCGTACAGGTCAACCACCGCGCAATTGTGACGACAGAAATCGATTGCGGATCGAAAAATCGATAGCCAATCAAAAAAAAATCGATAGTGTTTATCTCCCGTCACAATACACTTATCGATTTCTAACTCAACGAACCGATTTCTCCCGGAATCGATTAATCGACGAAGCCATCGATTTTGTTTTTGCATCGATCAAAATTTCGCGTGGCCGCGCCCCGCGTTTGTATTTCGCAGCGCGGACAAGCGTCGCCCGTCGAATCTCGCGCTCCCATTGGCCGAGGGGCGGCCCCCGGCGCTCGACCAATCAGGCCGCGGCAATTTATCCGAGCCGTTCGGGCTCTCCGTCGGCTCGACCAATGGGAAGCCGCGGAGCGGGGCCGCCGCGCGCATGCGTTGTAGGGAATGTGAAGCCGCTATAACGGCCATGTTTAAGCGGGGGGCCAGACGGTTTGCTGAGGAAAGCGTAATTAACAAACAGGGGTTTCGTTAAAAGTGAGAATGTTTAATTGAAACTGCACGGGAGAGGATTCCGATATCCCCGGACGCGATCCGCGTTACACCTCGAGTCCGCCGGTTGCCGTCGAATTTACCCGGCGTTTTTGATTGTTCCTGGGAAAGGGACTTTGCGGCCTAGTGCAACCCGCGGGAGAAGAGGCACCCTGCCCGGCGAGGGATCTAGTCGAGAGGCGGTGAATGTTACAGGTAGCATCGGAGTTAAGATTTTTTTTGTTTAATTCTGAAATGTTTGCATTGTTAAATACTCGTGTCCGTGTCAAACCGTGCGCTGTGCTTGTTATGTATGAGTTTTGTTTGTAAACAATGCAATAAATGTTAAATCTATAGTGATGATACTGTGCCGGTAAAGGCTGTTTGTATATGTGTGCGCACTGTATTTTACGTAAAAAATTGTGTTAAATGTGTAATAATGTAAGCTGTGTACGAACGTGTATTTGTACACGCACGTATACATTCACGCGCTGTATTTATTTCCCCCGGTATTTTTGAAACCTTTGTTTTAATTGAATGTAAACACACTTGTTAGAATGTACACACTATCTTTCAAGTGTACGTGAAATGTTTATGAGTAATACTGCTTTGAAATGCTTAATGTGAACGGGTGTGCACAAGTACTGGACGTGTATATGGTTGCTAATCGATCCTCTGATTAGCACGGCTGGCTACGTGCGTTGCTAAATAAGTCCCAACGTACATACAGCCCATCATCCCTTCGGGGGCGGTAAAGTTGGTACCACTTTGTGGGAAAGGCAACAGTGGCTGTCCTATGGGTAAGACTCGCGCCCGCCCTGCGAATGTGGAATCTTCACCACTTGATCAGGGCTGTAAAACAGATGACCAAACGCCTCCTTATCTCATTTGAGCAGATCACTTTGAAATATTTGTTTATATATAGTACGTGAATTACGCTGTGCTGTATTGTCAAGTACATACACTGTATATGTGTGTGTGTGTGTTGGTGTATGTCCAGCTTGTGTGTTTTCTATGTGTGTGTGCAGTGTTTTTTTTATATGTGCACCTAGCCTGGCACAAGCACTGTGGTGACTGCGCTGCCGATTAGTGGCGATTGACAGCTATTCTTTTCGATGTAAAGCTTTCGTGACTGCAGGGATTCATCTTCTTGGTTCTTTCGGTAAAGTCACGTAGAAGGGAAATAATAAAATAATAAAAATAAAACATAATAAAATAATTCTCACGACGTTTCGGTCTCAACTCAAGCAGCCGTCCTCAGGTGAAGAATGAAACACCACCAAGCTTGGAGCTTCACCTGAGGACGGCTGCTTGCGTTGTGGCCGAAACGTCGTGAGAATTATTTTATTACTTCCCTTCTACGTGACTTTACCGAAAGAACCAAGAAGATTGCTACTCTTGTTATGTGTGTATATTATGTGTGTGTTCATATGTATAAGGAACATACAACTTTTAGCGAATATCTGAACCGGTCCTGGGTGCTTCCCTAAGTCGACTCAGCCTTAAGTGAGTACCTGGTGTGGTACTGTGTGTGCATCGTCAGCAGTGGGGAGACAAAGGCGGCCGGGCGTGGATTTCTTGACCACAACGCGAACTCTCACGTGCAAGAAGCCAGCCTTAATAGGATCTCATTTCGTACCACTTATCTCCCCCCCCCGCCCTCAGCAGTGTTGGCTAAGTGGAGGATGTTGGTGGTTAAGGGTCTGCGTGAAACGCGTTAAGAGGGTGGCAACATCAGGTTATTGTGCAGAATCGAACTTTTTGGGTGAGATCGATCAAGCCGGCCACCAATGCCCGACACGGCCTGATCAGTAAGGGAGTGTGTCACGTTAACAGAACGTAGACATTAATTCTAGATTTGAAGCTTTCGTAGGTAAAATAATAAAATAAATGAAAACAACTAAATTAAATCACGACGTTTCGGAGGCAGCCTCCCTCATCAGGTTTTAAAAAAAAAAGGCACGGCAAAATATTTTTCGATTTAAAGCTTTCGTGACTGCAGGGATTCATCTTCTTGGTTCTTTCGGTAAAGTCACGTAGAAGGGAAGTAATAAAGTAATAAAAATAAAACATAATAAAATATTGTATTATGTTTAATATTATTTTATTATTATTTCATTTTATTATACTTTCTTTTTATTATTTTATTACTTCCCTTCTACGTGACTTTACCGAAAGAACCAAGAAGACGCAGCAAAATAGTTAGTTATTTAGCTGTGCCTTTTTTAGTTAGTTATTTTGCAGTTTTTTTTTACACCTGATGAGGGAGGCTTGTGTTGCCTCCGAAACGTCGTGATTTAATTGAGTTGTTTTCATTTATTTTTTGTTTTACCTACGTGACTTTACCGAAAAAAACAGAGTAAGAACGTGGCCAATTCGTTACTGGTTCAGCACTAACCGGTTGTGCGTTAAACCCATTCCAACATTTGCAATTCAATTCTGGCTGTCTTTTGATGAGGCTGCTTGTGGTGGTTGTTAATACGGCGAAACGTCACGGTGACTCCAATTGTAAATGTTGCAGTGGGTTTACTCTGTCTAACACGTAGGCTTTCGCGACCGATATCATCCACGAATAGAGGTTTTGTTGGGGGGGTTAAGATCGCGTAAATATAAATGTCGCGTCGTTAAACTCGCCACCACCCCACCCCACACTGTCAACTAGCAAGGTAGGTTTGTATCACTTAAACAAAACGTGGCCCGTTTCGTTTCCCGGTACAGCCGCACATCGATTGTGCGTCGGAGAGTGAAACCCACGACAACATTTACCATTCGAGTACGAGGTTGCGCCGGTAATCACGACGGGATATTTATTACACAGGTCAACAACAAAAAAATCATTTTTTTCTGGCCTGGACTTTTGCAGCTGTTTTAGACCAATTTCAGGGTGCTGATTCCAAATCTGATCTCAGATTTGCTCTATCACATCTCATTTTTATGCTATCGGCATACCCCATTTTCATTGATTTTACTCGAAATTAACTCTGTCACTTATGATTGCAAAGTGTTGCGAGTCAGTGACTGCTTTAGTGTTAAAATATGGTGCTGTATTTTTAGGATAGTGTGTTTATAATATCATTTTATGTAGATATCCACATTTATTTAATATTTTTCTTCTGCAGTTTTTATTGAAAATGCAATATTTGATATCTCAAAAACCTGATGTGATAGACAAAAACTGATGCCAGATTTGGAATCGGCACCCCAGAATTACCTTAAGATCGTTGGAATACCTTATGCCAGAAAAAGTGTGTTGACCAGTATTATCAGGCGGACGACCAGAGAGAGGCTGTTTGTGTTTGGCCTCTTATCTCCGAGATGAGTTTGAAGAATCAAGCTCCTATCTTTAGGCATTGGAAATCTGTTGTTCAGCTCTCTTAGGTTTTTTTCTTGCACATGACAACGTTGACCAATTTCTCTTGTAGCCCCGCTCACCACCCCCACGTTCCATTCCCTGGTTACCACATTCAGATTAGCCCTCCCCCCCTTAACTTATATTTAAGGGCTGGTCTTTTGGAATTTTTAAATCCTTTATATTAAGTTCGCTTGCTTGCTTGCGCGCTTACGACCGTGCAAATCTTTCGGTCGTTTTTTAACCCACTTCCCGTGATCCAATCGAGCTGACATTTTGCACACAGACTCGTTGTGCGTGACAATTTATTTTCGTGAAAACATTTTTCCAAAATGTTCCACTTTTTAGGAAAAAATAAATGTCATATTTAATTTAAAATACCAATGTGATAAAAATGGAACTCTTACTCAAGAAAAACAGAAATGAATAATAAAATAAAACCGATGCCACGCATATAAAGGATTTATAGTGAAAAACTTTGTTTTTACGGGTAAATTTTTTCCTCACTTGATGCAGTCATTTTAGCTGTGACGGTCCCACCTGATGACGGAGACTTGTGTTGCCTCCGAAACGTCGTGATTTATTATTTTATTTTATTTGCATTATTACTTTTATTAACTTTTAATTAAATTTTTTACCTACGTGACTTTACCGAAAAAAACCTAAGAGTGTTTTATTATTTAATTTTATTTCCATTATTACTTTTATTAACTTTTATTTTTTTACCTACGTGACTTTACCGAAAAAACCTAAGAGTATGAATCCTTGCAGTCACGAAAGCTTCAAACCTGTTGTTCAGCGTCTGTAAAACAATTTCAAGCAAATCTGTTTCTCTGTCGCGATCATCTGCAGATGGGGGGGGGCGAATGTTGATGTTGTTGCGCGCGCAACCCTCCTGCCACTCCACTGCTGGATGAAGGCCTCCTCACCAGAGCGGCACAGATACAAAATGTAGCAAGTTACTTTTACACTTGGGAGGCTTTCGCGGCCAATATTATCCATGAAAGAGGTTTTTGGGTTAGAGCGCGTTTAAATATAGGTGTGTCGGGTGGTGGCGGGTTTAACGACACATTTATAAACCTCTTATGGATACGAAGTTACTATTATTATTTATTCATGAGAGATTGGAAAGAATAAAAATTTGAGGGCGGAAGTAATAACAGTTCAATCTTGATTTGAAGCTTTCGTGACTGCAGGAATCTATACTCTTTGGTTCTTTCGGTAAAGTCGCGTAGGTAGAAAAAAAAGCATGGTCTGCTTTCCCACCTGATGATGGATGCTTGTGTTGCGCCCGAAACGTCGTGATTTATTTTATTTTATACCTACGTGACTTTACCGAAAGAACCAAAGAGTAATGACAGTTCTTTGGGTTGACTTTAGCTGCCTTGTGGAAATAGGAGCATTAAGGCAGCCATATATAAACATTGTATGAGGTCTCTCTTAGCCATATATGAAGATTGTCTGGGTGTTTCTTAGTCATCTAAACATTGTGTGGGTTTCCATTAACCATATCGAAACATTGTATGAGGTCTCTCTTAGCCATATATGAAGATTGTCTGGGTGTTTCTTAGTCATCTAAAGATTGTGTGGGTTTCTATTAACCATATATAAACATTGTATGGAGTCTCTCTTAGCCATATATGAAGATTGTCTGGGTGTTTCTTTGCCATATCTAAACATTGTGTAGGTTTCTATTAACCATATCTAAACATTGTATGAGGTCTCTCTTAGCCATATATGAAGATTGTCTGGGTGTTTCTTAGTAATTTCTAAACATTGTATGGGGTCTCTCTTAACCATATATGAAATTTGTGTGGGTTTCTGTGAGCCATGTATGAAATTTGTGTGGGTGTCTCTTAGCCATATA